ATCCCTACGCTTAGTTCACTCTTTTGCATCCCAAGGGCATTTCCTTTGCTTGCTGCCCTTGGACTGCTAGCAAGACTCTATGGGCACCCTTGCTGCTTGTCCTTTTGTGGATCATTAATCCTCAACCTATTCATTTTGTGTGTGTGTGTGTGTGTCTCTCCCTTTCCCCTTCCTTGGTAGTAATTACTCTCCATGACTTCTCTCTCTGGTATTCTCTACTCTCGTGGGCCACATACTGCTCTTTTTTCTGTGTCTGTAACCACTATCAATCCAGAGATGAGATGTTTAGTCTTGATCAGTGCCTGATTGTTTGCAGTTGGCTATTCACTAAAAAGAGAAAATGGCACTTTGAAAAAAACCTCATGACAATACATTATGCTTGCCAGCAGAAGGGGAAATGGAGATCATGGATTTTAAGGGAGACACAGTAGGCCTTTTCATTACAAAGTCTGCACTTTAATGCTGCTGATGCCTTTCTGGGTTTCATTGACTGACGGGGATTTATTAAGAAAAGAGACCCAAGAACACTTTTTCACCCCTTGTCTGTTCTTGTATGAGTCAGATGAGACTCATTTGTACTTGTAGTACATCCAATGAGGGGCAGAGGGCCACTAATTAATGATGCTAAATGCCGATTCAGTTGTTTGTCAATGTGTGGAGCAGTCCATACCCAGAAGATACAGCTGTAAAAGGCCCAGTAAGAAAGAAATACACAGCCATTGTGTAAGGAAGGGTATTTTTACTATAACAGTTTTAATTTCATGATGACATCATTGTGAATAAGGGCATGAAGGACCAGTCAGGGAGTTCAAATGTCATTACAGGCATGAATTTACTAGATGATCTGAGGAAGGCTCTCTCTCTCTCTGCTCCACACTTAGGATAAAAAGGAGCAGACCTTTTGTGACGAAATGCATTTTGTCTTTGGAGGTTCGAAACGAGCAAAACCTTTACTCTGAGTTCTAAAAGGTTTTTTTCTTCTCTGGGCAGAGAACAGGCAGGAAGGAGAGAAAGTCAGTTCAATTGCTTTCCAGACTTACTTCAGCCCACCTTCATATAAATGCTAATAAGTCTAGCTAGAGACAATTGGATGGGCCACCCCCCCCCCCCAGCAGGGAACAGAGAATATGTTGTCGTTGTCGAAGGCTTTCACGACCAGAGTTC